ATATATATATATATATATATATATATATATATATATATATATATATATATATATATATATATATATATATATATATATATATATATATATAATTTGAAGATTTGTAATCTAGACATTTTGTTAAATTATAATTTTTACAAATTATACAGTGTTCTCTGGATTGTAATTGTTTTTTTTGAGCTTTCGACTCGGTACTTCGAGTCTTCATCACAAGGATTGATCGTTTGAAGTTTCGCGCTGTTGCTGACGCTGTTGAAATCTGTGGGAACGTCTGATTGGTTAATGGATTTCAGTATGCATATGTTGGTTGCCATTGGTTGCTGTGGATCGGATGCGGGTGATTATTGTTATCATTAGACGGTGTAGGGAAGGAAGTTGATGGTGGGTTAAAGGTTAATGAAAATGAATTAAGAGATTTGTACGAGCGTTTCAGTTGTAGTCAGGGACCCCGGAACGATATGAAGGCAAGGGGGGCAGATTTTCGTGAAAGGGCACTTTTGAATTGATATATACTAAGATATGTTTACAAAACATTGGAAGTTGAACTTCGCCTAATCATGTTTTCTATTTATTGGATGATAGGGGTGTGAGTGGGTTATCCGCCAGGCAATTGTGCTATAACTACCATTCTTGAAGCTTGATGACTGCATTTCTTGCGTTTTCTGAAGCAAATTCGTAAAAGAATTGCACTAACATTTCTGACAATTCGCTATTTCGCCAAAGCAATCCTTTAAATTGAAAGGGCACCTTTTCCCCCTGGCCCCTCCCGGTAAAGGGCAACGGGGGCGGCTGCCCCTTCTGCCCCCCCCCACCCCCAGTTCCGGCGTTCCTGGTTGCAGTAAATTGTTGGGATGTCAATGCGATGGTTAAATGTTTGTTTGTTATGCCACGCTTCATTAAACTCACGAGCATGTTTGCATTATATTGCCTAGCATTGTTTCGAAGCGAATTTTCCGCGTTCAAGACTATAAATTAACAACCAACTCCACCATCTTTTGCGCGCTCAATGTTTAAGGTTTAAGATATTTGTATGTGCATGTCCAGCCATGCATGCAGGTTACATTCGACAATGCACATGGGGCCAAAACTTTCCATCACACAGGAGCGTAGAAACTGGGGAGCCAAGGCACCCCAAGTTTTCAGAAGGCGTAAAAAGTGCTCTTCCGGTGGTAAAGTGCCCATTGCCTTCGTGAAAAATGTTACCTGGAGGTTTTTACGGAGACAGCCTTTTTTTTTTTTTTTTTTTTAATAA